CCCCCCCCCAGAAAATCAGAACCGACTTTCCTCTTGCCTTTGGGAAACTTGGCAACGATGGTGCGGCGGTCATTTCCTCTTTTTTTGTCCCTGCGGGAGCGGAAGTTTTACACTCCCTCGTCCCCCTTGTGCCGCTTCCCCTTGACCTCCTCTTCCTGTAGTAGAGACAGCAGGCCGGCGAAAAGCTTGCTAGTACCAGCAGCGGACCCTCCTGCTCGGCTTGACGGGAGGGGGGGGGGGNGGGGGGGGGGGGGGGGGGGGGGGGGGGGGGGGGGGGGGGGGGGGGGGGGGGGGGGGTTCGTGCGTGTAAGCAGAGGGGCACAGAAAGGGGAAGGTCGCGGTTCCATTCGGAGCTCGAAAGACAGAAAACGCGAGGTACTGCTGTACAGAAAACCACCGCGTGTGGCGCTCATTGGCGGCGTTCCATTTTTTCCTCAGCATGTTACGAACGAGGACAATCTCGATCGGGGAGCCGGGGCTTTAATTCCTCCAATTCACCGCCTTTTTTTTTTTTTTTCGTTTCGGTCACATCCTTCCGCAGGAGTGAATTTCTGGGTGTTATTTCCCCCCATTCTTGCTCATCTATTCAGCAGCAGCAGCAACAGCAGAATGAGCGGTCATGCGACAGGCCCAGGAAGAGAGAGAGGAGCGGGGCAACTGGGGATAGTCACACTTACAACTCCTGACGGAGAAACTCGGCGGACAAATTTCAATCGGGCGGAGAAATCCGGCGGACAAAACTACCGAACGTTTCGTGCATGAACAGAAGGGAAAACCGCGCCATGACGAAGAGTTTCGTCGGAGCTATTAATGGCTACCACACCACACAACAGAGCGGAGCCGGTACAAGCTGGCGCTTCTTAGGTGCTGAATTCCAAGGGCCTACAAGAAGAATGTGTTACCCCGCCGCACTAAACAATTCATTCACACAGTGCGTTGTGCGAGGGGTACAAGACGCACGCAGATGCCGACGTTCGCCAAGCTGTGTGTTCATCACCGATAGCGGGCAATGTGCAGTAACGAGACCGTCAGGTGGTATACGGCAGAACTTGGTGTGTATGTTTTCTGTGCTTTTTTCTGGGTATCTGGCAGTACTACCGAGCATTACAGTATGATTTTTTCGGTATTGGGGACGAAATATGTTGTCTGAGGCACGCCCTCGACCACCTCTTGGTTGGTGGTCTTGGGCATCAGTAAGAAGGAGCTCCCGCTCTCTACCATGTCGCTCAGGTTGAGCTATGTTTCCTTCGCAACGTTCTTACTTTCCGCGAAAACCTGAGGCATAGTTTTTCATTGCTGGCGCCGTCTGCGGTAGAAAAGCAGTCAGTCAGATCGACGGAAACCGCACAAAACAAACACAAAAATCAGAGGATACCGCCATGTCCCACGCATTTTGGAAACTTACCACATGCATATGGGTACGGTAAGGGATAAGACATGCAGCTAGCTAATCGCATGCTGTCGTTTCTTCGTAGGGTACACGAACCGTCGAGAGCGAGAATCGACAACAAAAAACCTCGAAAAGCAGTCGTGGGTGTCGTGCATCCACGTTAGTACAGGCGGCCGAGGAACCCGCCGGAACAACAGGCACCCAAACTCTAAGCTTGTTCGTGGAATCGCTCCTTCTCAAGAAGAGAAATTCTAAACTAAGGACAGCAGCGAAGATACTTACCGTCAGTCTTCACGCCCCGGACCGATTTCTCAAAGCTCGGATTACACGCTGCAAAAGCAATAAAGCTGCGGTGCCGAAAGTGACGGCGTCGGAAACCTCTCGTCTAAAGCTTCCCCAAAAATAGATACCGTTTGACTTGCACGTCCTCTTCGCCATCGAGTATGGTACGCACCCGCACTAATAAAGAACCTCTACCTGTGGCCGAGTCTACGATTCTTACCAGTTCCTAGGGTTATGCTACGAAGGTTCGCTCGCTATTTACCGCAAAAGGATGGGCGTCTTGGCACGGATCGGGTACGCCGCACAGGCCGGGGTCTTGGCACGGGGAGAGAAGAGCGGGTTCCAAGGGGTTTACATGATTATCGCACAGGTGTCGTTCACTTCGCACAGGGGTGTGCGAAGACCTCGATACCTTCCGTGAGGCCGGGCGATACTATGGTGGTACCCAGTGCTTGTTGCGGGACTCTACTGTACCACATGAGGATGTATGATGGGGCTCCACTGCTGTACTCTGGCACCGTGACGCTCATCAGGCCCAAGTGATGTTGTAATTCGATTTCTAGAGCTGCCCCGTTGTTCAAAA